GTATTATTGTGTAAATTGTCAACATACCGCATATTATTTTTTAACCTACTGTACAATATAGTTGATTTATTGACCAACAATATTCCAGTCTGACATTCACGGTACACCAGGGTATTACTTCAAAGGCAATAATAACAAGATTGCCTGGAATGAACCAAATCATGCACATCAGATGAACAATTATTGATTTTGGGGTTTGACTGTTCTCAAACAAATAAAGTGTTACTAAACCCACAACAGTAAAATCAGTCTGTATATGCAGTAATGCATGCTTGTTATACTCACTGTGGAACCTAAGAGGTTAACCCTCCGCATAATGTAAAAATGCTGTTTGAACCTGTCCTCTCTGATCCCCCCCCCCCCTTCTACTGTCCCAATCCATCTGGGTATAGCACAGAGCCCTAGGATTCACTCTGCACATGCTCAGTTTTGTGTGTATTGCTAGAGAGCTTTTTTTTTTTCTTTGGGAGGGTGTATGTGATTAGCACAGGGCCAATCAGCACTGTCCAGAAAGAGGGTCAGGGGTTATGCAGCCTCATAAGACAATCAGGGGAGAATGAAAACTCCTCCTACATATTTAACCAGTGCTCAGCTGGACACTGAAAGAAGTCAAAAGACTGCTATAAACTGCTAATGAGAAAAGGTATTTAGCAGTTTATATTTACTCAAAGAATTGCATTTTTTAAAAAATATTATTGTACTGTGAGAGACCAGATATAGTGAATGCAGGGTCATGGGTTTAGTAACACTTTAAATTCCTGTGTTATGATGAGCTATGATCCATCCTCAATGCCATTGTTTTGGTTCTCTTTTCTTGCAGTTCTCAATGTGCCTGTGATGTAGGGTGGATGGGGTCATCTTGTGATACCCCCATTAATGAGTGCGCCACTGTTCATTGTGAGAACGGGGGAATATGCCATCCTCACCTGGGTGGATATAACTGCTCGTGCCAAGCAGGATTTACAGGTACCCAAATATTAATTGTTTGTGGGTAGCCCAACAGACTGATGAGCTAATGATAGTCAGCTTTCTCAAACCTTCCTCCTGAGGCTGTTAACAGTTCTTTGAGCAGTGGGCAGTGATGATTTGATTTCCCACATATACTGATCACCAATACAAAAAGTGAGAATTTTCCAACAGAATACCAATGTAAGGGGTCATTTGGGGTCACTGTCTTCTATTAATTTTTTTGTTGTATACAGAAAGTGATGCTAAAAATGATGTTTCATTTATATTGAGTTATTAATTATTTTGTGACTTTGCATCTTTTATAAATTGTTAGCCCTATTGATGAGAAAAAAAGCTGGTTGTTTACAGATCCTAATAGCTCAAGGTTGAAGCCTAAGTTTAGTAAAAAAAAAAAAATCAGCACAATTAAAATTGCTTACTATCAGTATTATGTGTCCTTTGTTTTGCTGTCTTCTAGTTTAGAAGACTTTCCACAACCTATTCACCAAATGTCCCAACAGTTCAAACGTTAGAGAAAAGCAGGTCTACTGATGCATATGTTCTTTGAATGATGAACCATACTATCAAGGTCATCATAGATGCTTCATAAGAGACAGAAGTTATCCTACCTTTGGATGGTTTAAAGAAAGCTGTCCATTGCTGACTTCTACTTTTTAAAAGAGAGATAAGGCCAAAGCTCTTTTGGCCATACTTCTTCTATGGGTCACACAAGTGCACTTATTTCTGCAGTCCTGTGACCCAGAGCTGACAGCGGGCTAAAGCCAGCTGTCAGCTGATGTCACAGAGCCGGTACAGGCTAAGCAGGGATCACGACAATAATGTCAGGATCCACCCAGATGCCTGACTAGCAGCTGGCTCAGACTCTCATTGTGCTGCTGAGAGACTGAGCATGCCCAGGGCTTTTCTTCTTAGAGAATAGGTGCACGAACTCCTGACTTTTGAGTCACCCTTTGTCTCCACCCCCTACCCACCTTCCAGCACTGCCCCCCTTTTAGAGAAAACAAAACTAAGTATAATTTTATGGTGCTAAGTAATTTGTATGGAATTTGTTAATAACAAGAAAAGCACTGACATAGATCCCTTGTAGCCAAAAATAGACCCACCTGGCAACAATAGATCTCTCTAGCAACAATAGATCCACCTCAACAACAAAACCCCTGGGAGCAACAACAGATCTTCCAGAAGCCAGCACCAATAAACCCTCCAGCAGCCAGCAACAACAGACCCTCCCTCAAACAGTAGATCTCTCCCAGCAACCATAGATTCCCCACCAGCAACAACAGAGCCCCCAGCAACAATATTATTTCAGGTACTTGTATAGTGCCGTCAATTTACGCAGCACTTTACATATATATTGTACATTCACATCACGTCCCTAACGCTCAAGGGTTGTGCAATCTGAGGTCCCTAACTCACATTCTTACATATACATACTAGAATAAGATCCAATTAACCTATCAGCATGTCTTTGGAGTGTGGGAGGAAACCAGAGTACCCGGAGGAAACCCAGGCAAAGACAGGGAGAACATGCAAACTGCCAGGCAGGAGGGCTAACCATTTAGCCACTGTGCTGCCCTACCCCCATGCAACAATTTATCTCCTCCAGCAACCATAGATCCCTTAGGAGCCAGCATCAATAGACCCTCCTGCACACCCCAGTATCCCTTACCATTATATACATTCAGTGCTGGAGGTGCCGGAACTGCGTTCCCTCACTTTCCCGCTGAAGAAAAGCCCTGAGCATGCCATTCTTACTTCATCCACAGCCCCGTTCTTTAGTGGGTGCGGGAGGAGCAGAGCACAGAGCAGTGACTGACAGTCACCACTCTCTGCTCAGAGTGGACCAGAGAACTGAGCAATCAGCAGTCTTTGATTGCTCAGTTCTCGGTGTAGGGCCGACAGGGGACAGCTGCAGCATCAAATGTAAATGTTTGTTATTTTCCATTCTTGCACTTCTCTTAAAATTCTAGTTTCCTGGACTTTTATCCAGTTGGGTCAGTACATCTGTAGGGACAAACCCACTACAGGCATATGGTTCAGGAGCTATGTGTTATCAGTAAGCAAGTGACTCAGAAAGTATTGTAGCCAGGCAACCTGTATTTTTTGGAAGGAGATCAGCGATGGCAGCCTCCATATATTTCGCAGTACAGATTCCCAGTTTGTTGCTCCTGTGGGGTCTAATGTTGCTGGGATGGATGTTTTGTTGCTGAAGAGGTGGCATTTTTGTTGGGGGGGGTCCATTGTTGCTGTGTATGGGGTCTATTCTTGTGTGGGGGATCTTTTGTTGCTGGGGGGGTGTCTATTGTTGTTGGGTGAGGGGTCTAGAGTTCTTTGGGAAATCTATTGCTGCTGGGGGGTCTATTGTTGCTGGGGGAATCTATTATTGCTGGGATAGGGTGTATTGTTGGCGGGGGGGATCTATTGTTGCTGGGGTGGGGTCCATTGTTGCTGTGTATGGGGTCTATTCTTGTGTGGGGGATCTTTTGTTGCTGGGGGGGTGTCTATTGTTGTTGGGTGGGAGGTCTAGAGTTCTTTGGGAAATCTATTGCTGCTGGGGGGTCTATTGTTGCTGGGGGAATCTATTATTGCTGGGATAGGGTGTATTGTTGGCGGGGGGATCTATTGTTGCTGGGGTGGGGTCCATTGTTGCTGGGGGGTCTATTGGTGTGTGGGGGATCTTTTGTTGCTGGGGGGGTGTCTATTGTTGTTGGGTGAGGGGTCTAGAGTTCTTTGGGAAATCTATTGCTGCTGGGGGGTCTATTGTTGCTGGGGGAATCTATTATTGCTGGGATAGGGTGTATTGTTGGCGGGGGGGATCTATTGTTGCTGGGGTGGGGTCCATTGTTGCTGTGTATGGGGTCTATTCTTGTGTGGGGGATCTTTTGTTGCTGGGGGGGTGTCTATTGTTGTTGGGTGGGAGGTCTAGAGTTCTTTGGGAAATCTATTGCTGCTGGGGGGTCTATTGTTGCTGGGGGAATCTATTATTGCTGGGATAGGGTGTATTGTTGGCGGGGGGATCTATTGTTGCTGGGGTGGGGTCCATTGTTGCTGGGGGGTCTATTGGTGTGTGGGGAATCCATTGTTGCTGGGGGATCTAATGTTGCTGTGGGGATCTATTATTGCTGGGGGGTTTCTGGCTGCAAGGGATATACTATACTGATTTTCTTGTTATTAACAAATTCCATACAAATTATTTTGCACCACTTGGTATCATCATTATGTGTATTCTCCAAAAGGGACAGTACTGGGAGGTGGGGAGGAGGTGGAGGAAAGGTTGACTCAGAAGGGGGGAGTTCCTGCACCTTCTCTCTGAGAAAAAAGCCCTGCCTAAGAGCATATACATATAACTGGAGTAATATTGGTTTTAATCTCAGTGATGTCATCAGTGTGCAGTCCTTTTTTCTGCTTTACTGTTTTATTAATGTGTGTACAAAAATGTTACTTTTATTTGGCTGTAGGGTTAAATTGTGAAATTGCCATTCAGTTATGTTCTCCTGAGACCTGTTTTAATGGAGGCACCTGTCATGAGAATCCCAACATCACTGATCCATCATGCCTCTGTCTCCCAGAATGGCAGGGTAAGTCATATTCTGCCTTATTTTGTAAAGAAATGTATAGTGAATTTGTATGGATTTCCTTTTTTTTTTTTTTTTGGATGGAAAGGACTAAACATTAGACAACCTTTTTAAAGTGAACCTGTTCCCCCGATTAAGCGCATTCAAATATTTGCCTATTCTGTGCATACTCTGCACATTATCTTGTAGACTTCACCTCCGTAATATCTCCAAGATACACCCGTTCTTAACCTCTGAAACCACTAAGCAACTTATTCACTCCCTTGTTATCTCTCACCTTGACTATTGTAACTCCCTCCTCATTGGCCTACCTCATCGCAGGCTATCCCCTCTTCAGTCTATCATGAATGCTGCTGCCAGACTCTTCCACCTTACCAACCGATCCATATCTGCCATCCCTTTCTGCCAATCCCTCCACTGGCTTCCCATTGCCCAACGAATAAAATTCAAAACATTAACAATCACACATAACAGGGCTTGAAATTTCCACTCGCCTGCTCGACAATGGCGAGTGGAAATTATGGTGGGGGCGAGTGTGTCCCCAGGGCCGTCTTGCTGAGCAGGCTCGGAGCTCAGGCCGGATCTGTCATTGGCACTGGGAGCTGTCAGACTGCTCAATAGCTGAGCGCAGTGAAAGCAAAGGAAGGAGTGTGTGCTGTGCTCTCTGCCTCCCCCTAGAGTGCAGTACCCGGCTCTGTGAGTGAACAACGAAGTACTGCAACTTTTTATGGGGGGGGGTGTACGTGTACATGTGTGTGTCTGTGTATGCATGTACTGTACATGCAGGTGTGTGTACATGTGTGTGTGTGTGTGTGTGTGTGTGTGTGTACATGTGCCTGTGTGTATGTACGTGTGTATGTACGTACATGTGTCTATGTGTACATGTGTCTGTGTATGTGTGTACATGTGTCTGTATTTACATTTGTCTGTGTATGTATGTACATGTGTCTGTGCGTGTGTATTTCTGTGTATGTACATGTATCTGTGTGTATAAGTGTTTGTATGTGCCTGTGTGTATATACATGTGTCTGTATGTGTGTGTGTACATGTCTCTGTGCGTATGTGTACATGTTTCTGTGTGTATGTGTATGTACATGTCTGTGTGTGTGTGTACAGGTGTCTCTGTTTGTGTGTGTTTGTTGGTGGCGAGTAACTCTTAAGGCCTGGCTAGTAGCTCAGGACATATAAAGCCATTTATAACTCTGCCCAAAATTACATCACCAATCTTGTCTCCAAATATCACCCAAACCGTACTCTCCGCTCCTCGCATGACCTCCTGCTCTCTAGCTCCCTTGTCTCCTCCCATGCTAGTCTCCAGGACTTCTCCAGAGCTTCCCCCATCCTCTGGAACTCTCTACCCCAATTTATCAGACTATCGCCTACTCTGCTCACTTTTAGGCCATCTCTGAAACCTATCTCTTCAGGGCAGCCTATCCTGCCGTCAGATAATATTGGAATCTTCTATTCCTCCTACCAGTCCATCCCCCGCAGTTATTATCTTTTGTACCACTAGCCCCTCCCTCTTAGATTGTAAGCTCCAAGGAGCAGGGCCTCATATCCCTCTTATATTGAACTGTATTGTTGCTGTATTGTCTCCTGTTATATTATAAAGCGCTGAGCAAACTATTGGCGCTATATAAATGCTGTATAATAATAATAACATTATGACAGGAGCCCACCCTCACCCAGAAGACTTTAGTTCTACTTTCATTTCGTCGCAAAACCCATTGACTCTGATAGATTCCAAAGTACTTCACCAAGAGTTTCAATAAAACTGATATTCCTCAAAAAATTAAAACCCTCAATTTCATTCATATCTAATGCCAACCTCTATGAAACAGACTACTGGAGCTCCACCACAATGGTACAAAGCAATCAGCACTATGAACACAATTAGACACTTCTAGAAATAAAGGGATACTTTGTTTAGTTATAGTTTAACCCGACATTTTTCAACCAAGGTGTCTTCAGGCTTTTTTGGGGGTGCCTCGGCAAAATGCCTAAAAATTGACCAAAAATTGTATACAAGCCAGCAAGTGGATCAAGCCTGCCTTTTAGTACACAAAGCCACAGGTTTTCATTGGGCACTTTTATGACCTTCTAGCTGCCAATGTCCTAGCAGCCAGTTGATAAGGAGGGTGTGTGGTGTCTGCAGACCATTCTTGTTTGCTCCTCCACTGCTCCACTCTATCAGCACTGGAGTCACATTAGGGAGAAAAACTCAGGGAGAAACACTGGATGACTAGTCAGTACCAGTGTGCAAAGGTAAATTTGCTTTGGAAGAATAAATCACCTCCAATGTTGGGTGTCCTACATGTGTGGATGTTGCTGCATTATATAAAACTACTAGAATAGTTTTTTACATTTTGTGGTGCCTCGAGAAAGTTTAAAGTGGTGCCTCGAGATTATGCAAAAATTTTTTAGCAGGGTCCTTATGTATTCTTATTTTTCAGCAAGCAGTTAAAGCTTTTGGCTCCTTTTTCACGTGTTTCTAGTTTCTTCTTAGCCCCGTTGATGAAAAGAGCTGGTTGTTTACAGATCTCAGTAGCTCAAGGTTAAAGCCTAAGTTTAGTAAAAAAAAGAATTAGAAAAAAGATCATTGCTTACTATCAGTATGTTGTGTCCTTTGTTCTGCTGTCTCCTAGTTTAGTAGAAATCTTCCTCCTCTGATCCCCTCCCCTTTCCAATCGTTCTGTGAGGCAACAGGTTAATAGAGCCAGGCATGAGTGCCCAACTATGCCTGCCCTTTCTGCCCCCTCCTCAATTTATAGAGGCTGTACTATCTCTTCAATAAATGAAGCATAATCTATGAATGGAGGAGGCAAATTTCACAATCATCCCTCCATCCTCTAATCACAGATCGAGTTCCATTCATAGAAGCTTTTTTTGCACTAAGCTTGGGCTTTAAATTTTCCTCACACAGAATAATGAGTCAAAGTTGTAAATCCTTCTCCTCCCTTTCCTCTCTCCATATGTTTTATATGAAAAAAAATGTAAAACAACTGCTGAAAACTATATTACAACCAAACTTAATGGTGTAATCCTGGACTCTGAACTCTCCTTTCGACCCCACATCCAATCACTTTCCAAAGCTTGCTGTCTCATCCTCCACAACATCTCCAAAATACGCCCCTTCCTAACCAATGATACTGCAAAGCTCCTAATTCACTCCCAGACTATCTCTCGCCTCGACTATTGCAACTCCCTCCTTGAACTACCTTTACATAAGCTATCCACCCTCCAGTCCATCATGAATGCTGCTGTCAAGCTCATCCACCTTACCATCCTTTCAGTGTCTACCACCCTTCTCTGCCAATCCCTGCCAATCCCTGCATTGGCTGCCACTTACCCACCAAATTAAAGTCAAAATACTAACAACTTACAAAGCCATCCACAATTCGGCCTCCCGGCTACATCACTAACCTAGTCTCAAAGTACCAACCAAATCGCTCTCTTCGTTCTTACCAAGACCTCCTCCTCTCTAGTTCCCAAGCTTCTCCCATCCTATGGAATTTCCTACCCCAATCTGTTCGACTATCTCCTATTCTGTCCACTTTTAGGCGATCCTTGAAAACATTTCTTTTCAGAGAAGTCTATTCTGACTCCACCTAACAACTGTACATGTATTTTCTCCATTGGCTCATCCCCCAAAGTTATTACCTTTTGTATCATTTGACCCTCCCCTTTTAGATTGTAAGCTTTAATGAGCAGGGCCCTCGGGCTCCTCCTGTATTGAATTGTATTGTAACTGTATTGTTTGCCCTCACACTGTAAAGCGCTGTTCGCATTGTTGGTGCTATATAAATCCTGCATAATAATATAATAATAAAACAATAAACCTGACTCAAAACCCAAAAGTTTAAAATAGCAAACAAACAAAAACATGTATAAATTTAAAAAAATAGGGCAGACTCAATGGATGACTTAGTCTTTTTTCTGCCATCACTCTTCTATGTTTCTATGCTTCTTGTTTCCCTTTATTCATATTTCTCCTTTTTAGACCCGTTATTTGTACTCTTGTTTCCTGCAGGTCCACACTGTGAAGAAGATGTCGATGAATGTTCCGATGACCCCTGCAAGAACGGGGCAAGTTGTGTTAACATTCCTGGAGCATACAGCTGTGTCTGTGCCTTGGGGTACACCGGACCTCACTGTGGATCTGCATTAGATCACTGCCTGCCAGGTGGTTTGCCCAGAAGTCCTTGTGCGGCACTGGTCTCTAGCAACCAGTCAAATGCTGCCTTCCACTTTCTCGGCTTTGCTGAAATATGACAGTTGATCTGATTGGTTGCCATGGGCCATACAGAAGCAATACAAAATATTTATTTTATTTTTTTTTTACCATAGACCTGATGTTTTTCCTAACACTTTATGTTTCATTTTCTCATTTTCTCCTTAGATAGTTGCCAGAATGGAGGTACGTGCCTCAGTCTGCCTGACTTGTTCACCTGCATCTGTCCCTCTGGATACACAGGAATGCTGTGTGAGAGGCATGTAGACAGCTGTGCAAGTTCACCTTGCCAAAATGGCGGATTATGCAAGAACCTTGGCGACTCCTATACCTGTGACTGTGCCAAAGGGTATGAAGGAACAGAGTGTGAGGTTAACATCCAAGACTGTACTAACAGGTAAGGGGACTCAAGCAGCCAGAAGTACTGTTCTCTGGTGGCTTCAAAATATATGCATAGGTGTGCACGCCCTATTGCATTACAGTAGGCTGCACCACCAGTTGGCTTCTCAGAAGATTTCCCGAATCCAGGACATAGGATTTAGCTCTGTGTTGTCTTTAGAAAGCTCGCTACATTGTGGCTTTCCCCTTGTAGATCCCAAAGTGTGCTGCTGTACTCACACTGTCCCCTTTGCTCCCTGCTGCTTAGAGGTCTCTTTAGACCCCTGATATATTGCCAATGCCCCCAAACAGGGCTCTTAAAATGTAAAAAAGAAAATAGTAAAATAAATAAATAAATGAAATGGATAAAAATGATAACATTGAAATAAAAAACTACTGACACCAGTGGCAGGGTCACACATGTGGCTGGTCCCTGGTGTTCCGTCACTGTGGGGAGGCCCTGGCCAGCGGTCAGGGGGGCCCTTTATGGTTTCTTGCACCGGGCTCCTGAAGTTTCCAGTTATGCTACTGGCCTGAAACTTGTCCCCCCCCCCCCCACCCCCCCCCCACTGCGCCACCTGCCGCTTTCTCTGGATCTCCCATCCCACTGGCGTCTGCCAGCTGGCCGGACAGTGGAACAAATTCGGAATCGGCTTTGATCAGCTCTCCTTTATTGTAAGCCGGAAGCAATGACCTGACATCACTTCTGGTATACTTGGAAACTTTTGGCGCCATTTTTAAAAATCTGAAAGCATTCAAAAACAATGATCTTGATGTTTTGAATGCTTTCAAGTGCAGAGGAGGAATTTGGGGTCTCATAGATCCCAGATTCCTCCATAAAAATACCTGTCACGTATCTATTGATGTCACGGGGGATGTTTACATTCCTTCTGACAGGAATAAAAGTGATTTAAAAAAATGTAAGTAACAGTGCAAAAATGAAAACTAAAAAAAATGAATAATTAAAAAAAATTATAGTGCCTACACCCCTGTGCTGACATGCAAAGGCAAGTGCACGTGTCGGTCACACAGGCAAATAATGACCATGACCCACACAGGTGAGGTATTGCCGTGATTGTCAGATCATGGACAGTAATTCTAGCACTAGCCCTCCTCTGTAAATCTAAATTGGTAACCTGTAAAGACTTTTAATACGTCGCCTATGAATAGTAAAGTTGACGCTGTTTGTCACCAAACATGGGTGAGCACACCTTTAAACCCCTTGACGCCGACGTAACACAAATATGCGGCCTCACAGAACTGGGCTTTTTTCTGTGGGGCCGCATATTTGCGTACCTGTCATTGTGCTGGGAGCACTCCGCGATGTCACTGAGAGCACCAGGTCCCGTTCTAATGATCGGGACCCGGG